AACGGGAGCGGCCCCGTGACAGCAGCGCTGCAGGGCAGGGCCGCGCAGGCCACGGCGGGTCTCTGCGGAGATAGGCAAGCAACCTGTGCCACGCTCTGGAGCTCTCTTTTCTATAAGTTTTGTAAAAATTTTTATAGAGAAGAAGGAGAGTTTCACTGAGTTGCCCTTGTTCTCGCAGTGATACTTGATTCTTAGGATAATAATATCGTGAAGAATTAAAACTTAGTGTAAAATATTGATGGTCATAACTCTGGCAGCTTTATTTCTGATAAACGTAGAACAGCTCTTAAAAAGGAGGGTCAGCGATATTATCTCTCAGAATGGAAACGTACAGAACTGGCAGCCTTTTCCCTTGGTTATCTTCCATCCCTGTGCTGCTGGCAGCAGTCAAATACAGCATCTTCCATGTGCTCTGCCCGTGACTTTGCTTTCTGCCGCTGCTCAAGTGTGTGTGTATCCGATGAGTGCCAGCAAAGGGCACACGGATGCCAGGCCCTTCTAGCTCTTTCTCTGAGCGTGGGCTCTGTACCTGTCCACTGGAGCACTATCTCCATGTGACTTGGCAACCTGCCATATCTTTCCTTCTAAATCAAAGCAAGTTCCTTCTTCCTGACCCCCGTGCGTTGGGATAAGTGTATTTGCCTGCATTTATCTGGCCTATGGCAGTTAGACTGCTGGTTCTGAAATGCAGAGATAGCAGAAAGTAGTTGCAAAAAAACTCCAAACCTAAACCAATTGTGAGGGAAAAACCCAACAACTTAATAAAAACCCTTCACCTTGACTCTGCTTAAGCAGAAGCAGCTTGAGCTAGAAGGATGCCTACCTTCTCATTTTCAGGGCCTTGACTTAAACTTTCTTGTAATTTTTTCTGACTCTGTAGAAGTTGGTGTAAGTACTAGCACTGTGGCTCAGGCTGCAGGTTCTCACAATTTTTTTGTGAAAGGGTAATGCTTGAAAGCACCTAAAAAAGACTGACAGTGGGGCACCTGGCTAGACCTGTACTTCTAAACCTGTTCACAAGTACAGGTGCAGCTCTCCCAGAGAGTCCTTAATCTTCGTTAGATCTGGTTGTGCACTGGAGAAATGCAGTTCATATAATCATCAATAATTGTGTTCACCAAGCCATAGCAACTCAGGGGTGCTGTTAAAAGCCTAGAGGCCTTTCCAGGCAGAGGAGTCTGCTCATCCGTGGGTGCTTTATTCCCCAGCTGGAGTACATCTTCCTGCAGCTGAATTGTCAGGATTGCCCAGCATCTGCCTGTGCCCTCAGGAGTTTCTGATGCAATCAGAGCTCGTATTTGCTGGTATTAAATAAGTGCCTTGCAGTTGTCTTACACTATTCATCTCTTTCAAAATAAACCATTATGTGTTGGGGTTTTAAAACTCCTTTTAATTGCAGTTTTTGTTGTAATGGCTCCCTTGTTACAATGTACAATTGCTTCCACAGGCAGGAAAAGCATTTAGGAAATTTCTTCCCCTCTTTGATCGTGTACTGGTTGAGCGATGTGCAGCAGAGACAGTAACCAAAGGAGGAATCATGATACCAGAAAAATCCCAAGGGAAGGTACTACAAGCAACAGTAGTAGCAGTTGGATCTGGAGGCAGAGGAAAGGTAATTCCCCAGAGCATTCCCTTTGGGTAGAACCAGAAATGAATGGGGTGGTGGTAGCTGGAATATTGCCATAAGAGTGGGATGGTTATGGTGCAGAAGTGGTGATGGCTCACAAAAATGGATGACTGTGATGGCTGAAATTACAAGTAGGGATTCAGAAAGCAGGTAGAAATCTCAAGTTGTCCTGAAATAAATTCCAGCATTCCTTTAATCATTTGTAAAATGGAGTGGGGTTTCTTTTGTTTGCTGTTGGTGGTGGGGGTTTTTTCAGGAGGTGTTGGTGGTGTTAGTTTATTTTAAATATGTAGACAGTGTTTGTGTGATACCCTGTTTCATCACATCTCAGCCAAAACCTTGAGGGACCAGCAGACTTCTTTGTTAAAATGATTACATGCTCACATGTCTGTGACTTGTGAGCAGGGTGGAACCCCACAATGTGGGGGTTCCACAAGATAAAAGATGCCTATTTGTTGGCTGCCTTGTGCTGTGCAAAATATCATTGTCCGTAAGGATTAGGCTTATTGGATTAAAGAAAGTCAGCAATCAAATAAGTGTTGAATAAGAGCTTGTTCATTTTGCACATTGGGTATGTATATGGAAATAAGACAGTTCACACCAAGGCCAGTGCCTGGGGGCTTCCACAGCAGAAGGGCTGGTTCCCCACCAGAGCAGTGTCCAGTCAGTAGCAGCTCTGCAAAGCAGGTTAAATTTCAACCTGGGCACATTGCCTTGGCCTTTCTTTACTGTGAGTCCCTCTCTGCATCCCAGGCTGGTTTGTGTCAGGATCTGATTTTTAACGGTTTATGTTGTGAAAGGGTGATAATATTTGACTAATGTGTTAATGTTTTGCTTATAATACAAAAATTTCATTAAACTCTATCAGGTGTTTCTAAATAAGTGAATTGATGGCAACAGTGACAAGTTGGTCAAAGTTACAGAAATGGGAAGGTATTTTTTAAACTGGCACTTAGAGAAATTATCATTGTTTATAGAATTTGGAGATGGACTTTGTGCCTTGGTTTTACAAGGGGGTTTCATGGTTCTTAAATGAAGTCAAGCAAAGACCTCACACTTGTCTTTACAGTCAAAACTAAATGCAGAGTTGTGATTTCCTGAATGTTTCTGTGCATGGATGGCTGTTGTAGTTTGGAGGAATTCTGTTAGAGAAAAATAAGGATTTTTTTCTTTTTTCAGAATGGTGAGATTCAGCCAGTGAGTGTAAAAGTTGGTGAAAAGGTTTTGCTCCCAGAATATGGTGGTACTAAGATCGTACTGGAAGATAAGGTACGTTTCCCATCTTTGTGAGTGCAAATCAGAGTGGTTCCTGAAACACCAGTGATAAATAGTGTGGGTACTTTGTGCTGTTGGCACCATTCAAGAAAGGGAGCAGCTGGATCCAGCCACCCTCTGACAGCTGTGCTGCTGCTACTTGTGCCCCTGCATAAAGGGATGCAACCACAGGAACCTCTGACCTGACCTTTGCTGGGTGGGCAAAATGTTCCACATGTCAAGAGGGAATCCAAAAAGACTTAGGAATTCCTGGGGGCATCCTTGTTTTTGGCAGGGAAAGCCTGCAGAATTGTTTTCTAGCAGTTCTTGTGCTTTCCCACTGCTAGAAGTAGTAACTTGATAGCTTTCAAGGAGTATCTTAGGAACAAAAATAACTTTTTCAAGACTAGCTCTACATGTTGACTTCTTGGTTACCTTGCTTTTGATTTTGTACTTAATGACTGCAGTAATGCTGATTCAGAACGAGACAGTATTTGCAAAACATGAAAAATACTTACGTGACTGAAGCTAATGTTTCTTTTCTTTACAGGACTACTACTTGTTTAGAGATGGTGACATTCTTGGGAAATATGTGGACTAAACCTGTTGCAGTATCAGCCATCCATTCCACTAAAATGCTGAAATTTTTCTTTCATCATGTAAATAATGTCCTTTATTTTATAATAAACAGGCATTGAGTCTTTGAAATAACTCGTGATCTCACTGTAACGATGGAACACAAATAAAAATATGTACAGTCAGAAATCAGTTGCTCTTGCTTGAGTTCCACTGAACAGTGAAATTTGGATGACCACCAACCAGCCTTAATTATCCCAAACAACATCATTTTATATCCTTATCTCTGTACTGAGATTGTAAAGGTCTTTACAATAAACTGCTGAAACTATTCTGCTTCTGTCTCAGTTTCTGCTGTTGCTCAGTGAAACTGAGTCTCAATTGTGTAATGAGCTCTCTGCCCCATTCAATGGTAGTAATATTGTATTTTCACCAAGTTTGTCTAAAATGAGCTTAAAATGGTTACCAGACTGATGCAGGCTTGCTGAGGACTTTTATCCAGCTCCCTTGCACGTTGCACTCCTGAGATAGGATGGGTTCCTCTAACTTCAGTCTGCAGACCCTGAAACACTGAAGGTTAAGGCACACAAGCAGCCTGTCCCCTGCAGCTGGAGCTTGGTACCAGTCATGTCTGTGCTGGAACAGACTCATCCAGTTCCCAGATGGAGCAGATAAGAATTAGTGGTTACTCTTGCTTATCACTCACTGAACTTTGCCAATAGAAAATAACCACCCCCCCAGCAGTTAACCAGGCAGAAGTGGGGCTGGTGCTGATCTTAAATGAAGTTTCTTTACTGATTACCACACCATCACACCCAGACCTTGAGCTTTCCCTTAACTCAGGAGAGACCTGCTTTGACAAATTACATTTCCTTTACCCTTAACACACCATCCTTAAATAGCAAGACACTGACTTAGGTGATGCTGAAGCAATTCAATTTGCATATTCCTGGCCACCTTCTCTTGCCTTGACAAGGATTCAGGGTTGTAGGTGCAGGAGCACCCAGATCTGTGCTGTTCCTGAGAAGGCTTTCAAAGCTGGGGTGCACAGAGGGATTGGTGCAGCCCAAGAACAGACAGTGCCTTAAGGTGCTCTTGGGGTAGTCCTAGTGAAGTCAGTCAGAACATGGCTTATTGCTGCTGAAACTTCAATGGCAGGAGTTAAATTTCATTTTTCTCTCTAGTCGAGCTGATTGGAACTCAACCCTGCTAGATACATTATAACCCTAGTGCCAGAGGTACCAGTAAAGAACTGTAACAAAATATTTTCCAGATCTCCACTCAGATGCTGCAGGGAGGGACTCAAGCTCTGACACAGTTAGAAACACAATGTATTTTCTGCCAGCACAAAGTCCCTGCCATCAGGGGCACAGCACAGAGGTCAGCTGGAGCCATGCCTTTCCCTAGGTGCCATTGGTCACCCAGCCATTCCAGCAGGAGCTGCACTTGCCAGGCATGGCTGCAATGGCTTTTGCTCCCCTTTGCTGTGGGGTGCCTGCTCTTGGCTGCTTCCCTCTGCTTGCTCTGGAGCTGAAGACAGACCAGGCACTGCTCTGGGAGTTAAATTCGCACTGAACTGTGGACAGACAGGGAAGATGCTACATTAATCAAAATACACTTTTTAGTACAAAAGACCTACATCTTGAAATCTGCCCTATTGCAGTTTTACTTTAGTAGTTACAGCACTGCACCTCCAAGCTGAAACTTCAGATAATCACACCCCAAGGACCTTGCAAGACAATTGATTGTGCAATGAAACACAAACTCCCTGGGAAGCATTATCTCCCACTGCAGCCAGCAGGCCTTTATCTCCCAGGATAAGGCAGGAACTCTGCTGCAGTCACACAGCAAAGAGGAGAAGGTATCTAAAATATTTACACACAGCTTAGAGACACTGTACCCCATCTCAAGGTGCAGTAGGAGTTAACTGCCCACAGAGAAAGGTTTAGGCCTAAAATTTCAGCGTTTCTTTCCCCAATGTCTCTAAAAGACACGAACTGCACAGGATCACTCTGAGCCCTCACCACACAACCTGGCTGCCCCCAGCTCCACTTTCAGCCCAGCAGGTTTTCAGCAGCTTGATACAATGCCTATTTATTAAAATATAAAATTCCTATTTATAATATAATAAAATAAAATATAAAATGCCTATTTATTAAACTTAGCATGGCTGTATCTAGTACAGTTTACGCAGGTGATTTTAAACAGAAGTCACACTTCATGGGAATAAGTAATTTATGGATGTAGGGGAAAAATAGTGTTCCTAGGCCTGATTAAATGGAGGACACAGTGGAACACTTGCTGGAGTGACAGGAATGTTCTATCCTTGCACCACAAGGCTCTCACTGGGAGCAAGGACAAGGCCACTGCCACCCAGCCAAGGGGATCCATCTGTGTCCCTGCCTGCCAGGCCATGACAGCGTGCCAAATCCCATAACCCTCGGGTTCCTCAGGCAAGGACACACAGTCACAAACCCTCTTTCCTTGCTGTGTTCTTCCTGTAGGAAATCAGCCTTCTTTCCACTGTTTTCTACATGGTTTAAAAGCTGCAGTTTTGGTGTAAATGCTGCATATTGCCCCACCTGCTTTTCTGAGGGGGTACACACTTCAGTCTTTCTTCAGTGTGTCTGAATCCCAAGGAAACCAGGTGGACTCCATCTTTTGTGACTTTCTTTTCCTAACACTTCAGAATAGCTTCCATTCTCAGCAGCTGTAGTGTTTTCAGAGTTTTCTCACCCTGGTTATGTCACCCTGCCACAGTAAGAAAAGGATGGAACATTTATATGCCAATAGAGAAGAAAGGACAGACAGGTCCCTAAGAGCACATGCATGGCTGATTAAATTTTGGCCAAATATTCAAATTTTCATTAGTGAAGGCCATAAGATGAAGACCAGTTGACCCCCCCAAAACTGAAATTACTCTTGTTCAGATTTTGTTCAAAAACAGCTTGAAATTGAATGAAATAAAAATAATAAGCATCTTCCAGGAATACAGGGTTAATTATCAAGGAGCAGCACAAGATAACCCTATAGAATTTAAGATCTCAATAAATGAGGCAGACTTCTTTCCTTTTTTCTGCAGACACATGAACCATCTTCAGACTGAACTAACAGAGACATACTTTTCTCTGACTGATATTTCTTCAGGGTCAGATTTGTTTCCATGTTAAAAGCAAGATGGCCATGAAATAAAAGTCAGGGACAAATGGAAACATCAAGTCCCCAACTTTTCTGTGCTTTAAGGTTAAACCTTGAATATGGTGATAGGAAAAAAAAACAAACCACAACAATAAAAGAATAATGCAAACAAGCTCCTGAATTTTGAAGGACTCAGGCAGCTAGAACTGCTCATATTTTGAAACTGGCAAATAATAATATCAATCTCATTAAAAAAATAATGTTGGAATACAGCTGGCCTAAAGAGGTACTAGGACATTTCTACTCCTCATTCCAATACACCAATTTCTCACAGCATTTTGAATCTTTTGATGGTTTCTTAGACTAGCTGGGTTTCGCCACACAACCCGAAGAGCTGACAATCCCTGACGTGCCTAGGGCAGGAATGCGGGCCAGGAGTAAAAAAGTAACCAGTGCAAGCCGAGCTCCGGCGCCTGCAGGCAGGAACGCCGAGCTCCGCGTTACAGTGTAACGTGAGAGGAGCTGCCGTGCCGGCGGCACAACCCGCGGGTCGGTCACTGCTGACCCCGTCACCCATTTCTGCTGCCCGCGCATGGTCCCCCTCCCGGGACAGGCAGGGCCCCGCTCACGGCCTTGCCCAAGCCCAGTCAGCACTCAAAGGGCACTTCTCTTTCTGACGGGAAAGCCTAGCTAGAGATTTTTCAGTGTTCTCGATCTAGAAATGTTTCACAAATTGTGGCTTTCACTGGGTAGAAGGAAGGGGTTTTAACGTGTTATTTATAGCAAAATAATTGAGTGAAAGGGGAAACTACAAGCAGCACTCACCCCGAAAGCGGTGGGAACAGGGAGCCAGCAGCCTCCTCCACCTTGCAGCAAACACCTCACAGCTGCCACCATTTATTGTGTGAGGGAGGCGTCTCACGGTACCTCTCTGCTTGGTCGTTCTTGCACAGACAGAAGCAATTCATCCCTCCTTACTCTGTACTCATTTCTACCACGTGTTTGTAACGTGGTAGAAATATAACAACTTTCAAATAATTTTCTTCTCACCCTACAGAAATACTATAAGTCACTCCAGTCTTTCAAAATGTTTACTTGCTTGTAAGGGAGACGTTTTTGTCAGCCAGCTATGAGGTAACAGTGTCTTTTTTGTTTTCATCGCAAATAGAGTCAACACCCGGCTCAGTAACCCTTGAAACCTGGGCTAACTCTGTTTGCCATTAGCGCAGCAGTTTGTGTCCTCTGCACACCCAGCTCATAGGGGTCTCAATCCTGCCTCTGGAGACCTAGAAAGGCTTTGGTCCCAAACAACCCGAGTTGTTGGGCCCTAGTGCTAGGGTGGGGTTTTACTCATTATTTAAAAAATTTATCTTGAATATTAAACTTTGAATAATTTTAAATCCACGCCCTTATAGTTTGTATTGCACAGAGCCTCAGGGGCTGTACAGACCCAAGCGAGGACTAACCTTGCGTGAGCGCACGCACAGCCGGGGCTGGCGAGGGGCGCTGATGAAACGGGATGAAATACGATGGATTTCCCAATAACCACTCAATCTCTGTGCGAGGCTTTGCCTCACAACCCGGGCCACTCGCTGCGACACCGGCCCCGCCGCGCAGCACCGAGCGGCCGCCCCAAACCTCCCCGCTCCCGGCTCTGTGGGTGTGGGGGTGCGCGGGTGTCAGTGTTGTCTCTCTGGAACACAAAGCTCTGCTCTGACAGAGGGACCTGCAGGGCACGGCGCTCACAGGGAAGCATCCATGGCCTCCAGCGCCGCGCAGAGGAGAGCGCGATAGCGCTGCTGGCCGGGAAGAGGCAAGGACAGGACCGGGGCGGCCCCATCACCGCCACCTCCCCTCAGGTCCGCCCCCGCGCGCCCCTCCCGCTTTCTCTCGCGAGAGCCGTTCCCGTGCCCGCCCCCGCCGCGCGCGGCGGCTGTTCTGGCCGTGCCGACCCTCCCTCCGCAGGCCGACTCCCGCCCCGCCCCGCGGCTGTTCCGCCCTGCCCCGCCCCGCTCGGCCCCGCGGCACATCCGGGCCCCGCGGTCGCTATGGTCATGGCGGAGGGCACGGCCGTGCTCCGGCGGAACCGCCCGGGCACCAAGGCCCAGGTGAGTTGTGCGGTGCCGCCGCCGCCGCCCCGACCGCCGGGCGAGCGGGCACGGGCAGCGCCTCCGCCGGGGCCCAGAGGCCGGCGGGGCGGCGCCGAGGGCCGCTCCAAGGGCCGCGCCGGGCCTACCGAGGCCGGGGCGGCGGCGGCCCCGCTGCGGGGATCGCTTTGTTCGCGGGGCAGCGGGCGAGACTCGGAGGCTGCGGGGGAGCGGGCCGGGGACGGCGGCGGCTCCTTCCCCGCGGGCTCGGCGGAAAGGCCGCCGGGGCTTCCAGGCTGCGGGCTGGGAGCGGAGGTCGCGTCGGGCCCGGCTGGCCGAGGGAGGCGCCGCGTCCCGCAGGCGGGGGCCCCGGCCGGGCGGAGAACGAACACCTGCGAGAGGCGGGCGGGAGCGCCGCAGGCTGGGGCGGGCAGGGCGGCTCCCCGGTGCTGTCAGGCACTGCTGCTGTTCCTGCTCTGAAAATACCGGCAGGGAGCTCATGACCCTGCTCTGGGCTCCGGGGGCAGCTCGGCACCGTCAGAGCGACCGTACCTGCCTGCCCTCCCAGAGGGATGTCATCCCTCCCTTACGTAACTGCACACAAGGAAATTCTGCTGTCACATCGCTTCTCTTAATCGAAATGGAATTAATCTGTTTCTGAGGTTTCACGGTCAGCTGGAACAGGCACACCTCAAACACGGAAACTACATTTTTTAGATTATTGCAGAGAGATGATCTGTCAAACCTCTATGTGAGACTTTCCCCTCTGCTTTTGGGAGGAGATGTCATGGTGGGAAAGGAGCTGTGTATGACAAGTGTCTTCTCCTGTTCTTTGTCATAGCAGAGAGGTAAAATTATTACACAATCCTGTAAATCAGGTCATTCTGTGCATGTTTAATCTGTGAAGGAGACAGAATGTCTCCTTCTTTGTGAGGAGATCTGTGCCTTTGATAAATTTGGGGTATTCTGAAAAACAGCTGGACATAGACCTAGGTTTGGTCAACTATTATGAAATTCATGTAGATTAAAGAGTTTTATGTATAGTGATGATAATTTCTCTCCATAGACATGATTTTTCTTTGTGTGTGGCTGTATTTAATGTTTTATTTTGGATGACACTGGTATAGCTGTTCAGTTTGCAAATACAATTAGGTAATGATATTTCAACAGTGGATATGCACTTAAGGTATTTCTGCCAGAGCTGACTTGCTCTCTCAGGAACAGATTGCCAAGCTTTGCTGTTGGGACATTTTCATTGAGTCATTGCACCTGCTGGGATGACTACAGCAAGCTGACGTGCAGCATCTCTGCATGATATGAGGGAGCAGCACCAAATTTTAGATGTGAAAAGTGCACAGTAAGAAAATGCCTGTGGTTGGGATGATCATGGTGCAGCACATGTGGACTGCTGCAGAACACAGGTGCAGCTGGATCTGAGGTGAAACTTCAGCAAGGCTTTATTATTAACAAGGCTGATAAGCATCCAGAAAATTTAATTAAGGCACACCGACCATACCAAGGGTAAGGTGGGAATGTGGTACCCGGTTAGGCCAGCACAGCGTTGCGTGATCTCAGTTCAGAGATGTTTTTCTTGCTGTGTCACCACTGGGAGTTTGAGTTTCATAAGCAGAGTGTGCTGCTGCTCTCTGCAGACCTGTTCTTGCCCGCTGCTGCCTGGTGTGGCACCTGCAGTGGGTGCTGTGTGCTGCATTTCATGGAGCAGCTGCAGGCTCTGGGTGGTACAGCGGGGCTGCTCACCTGCCGAGCCTTGCAGAGCTTTTCCTTTAGAGGTGTGCTGCTGCTGCTGCAGTGCTGGGAGTGCAAATCCTCTCTCCCTCCTCCTGCCAGGACTGTGTGCTGCTTCTGTTCACATGCAGCTTCCTGGAATTGTATCAACTCCATCTATTTTCCTGCATGCTCAGGCTTATTGTAGGCTGTGTGCCTTTCTTCCTCCCCCTCTGGTTTTGTTACATGGCTTTAAATTTTCTTTTTTCAAAACAGGATTTCTACAACTGGCCTGATGAATCCTTTGAAGAAATGGATAGTACATTAGCTGTCCAGCAGGTATTGCTACTTACATGAAATGTTGTTAATGAGTGCAGTTTCCCAGGTTTTGTGTTCTGGAATATAAAATTGAACAGGGCTTGCTATTTATGTGCTTAGGATGTTGCTGCACAGCAGTGAATTTGCTAAGCACCTATGTATTTTGACAAATTAATGGTTAATTTTTGCTTCCAGAAATAACTTAAATTCCCATGTCTGGTTTAAACAAATCACATTTAGGAAAATGGTGGGGGTTTCTCTGTTCTTTTACCTGTTTTAATTGAAGAAAAGCATTTTTCAGATCTGGCATTTTTAATACCAGTTTCCTTACCCTGCCCATCTACTTTTGAACTTTTTAGTCTGTCAATAATTTAAGTAAAAATTAAGCCCCTCCAAGATGTAATGTTCTGGATATACTTTCTTACTTTTATTATAACAAGATCTAGTTTTATTTCTACTCCCTCCCCAGTATATTCAACAAAACATAAGGGCAGACTGTTCCAACATTGATAAGATCCTTGAACCTCCTGAAGGCCAGGATGAAGGTGTTTGGAAGTATGAACATTTAAGGTAAAAATCCATCTGTTGTTAATATTCTGTCTTGGTTCTGAATTTTGTTCATTGATGCTGGTAGTGAATCTGTTTGAATGTGACACATCAAAACTAACTTAAATGAAATTTGATTTTTCCACTGTTAAATATTGGTATTATTTTCTGAATTCCCTGTTACTTCTAAAGACTTATAATATGCTCTGATCTTAATGTTTTCTTTAAAACAAAATATTTGTACCTCACTTCTTGAATAGGAAGATACAGTCATTAATTTCCATAGCACTTTCTCATAGCATTGTCAGTTCTCCATCTCCACTAATGAGTAATGTGATTTCCAGATGCTCCCAGTGCTTTTCCTGAAACTAGCAGACAAATAGGCAGGCACAGCAGGAGTGACTTACAGTTCTTTTTCTGTTTGTAAGGAAACAGACCTTTTTATCCATTTTTGGTTTTTTAAGTTGCAGTATAATACTTCCACTAAATGATATGTTAAACTCAAGCTTTGCTGTCAGTGAAGAAATAAAACATAATTGTTTAGCTGAGTAAGAAAACCATCTGCTGCTATGAAGATCAGAGTGTCTAAGCTGTTTTCTATGAGATACTTGCAGTGAGGAAACTAATAGCTGATTTTGATGCTGCTGTGTTCCATTTCTTTTAGACAATTCTGCCTTGAGCTCAATGGACTGGCTGTCAAGCTTCAGGTAATTCTTTTCTTGAGACATTTTGTCAGGGAGGGGACTTTTCTGTTTTGTGTAGATTGCAGAGCTTTCTTCTAAATATATACATGCAGGGCTAAGCAGTGTTTGGGGGTTTTGTAGTATTTTAAGGGCATATGGCAAATAACCCATTTAGGGGGTGGACAGGGCAAGGAAATGATTTGAAAACATCAGCTCCTTTTTGCTGCTGGGGTTTTTTTCTTAACTGAACAATTGTTTTAACAGAGTGAATGTCACCCTGACACGTGTACTCAGATGACAGCAACTGAACAGTGGATTTTTCTTTGTGCAGCTCATAAAACTCCCAAAGAGGTATGGATGTATTTTGGAAAACTGACTCCAGTGATGCAGGAATTTTCTTTCACAGTTAATAGGTTCATAAGGAGCCTCTTCAAGGTGGCTTCTCTAGTCAACCTGAGAGCTTATGTGGGTTAAGAATATCATTTGAGCTACTCTTCTCATTCTGTACTGTTCTACAGAGGAACAGGATGAGGTAAAAGGAACTGCTTTTTTACCTCAGTATTAGCAGCTTTGCACATTGTCTCTGGGTTGGTGTTGATCCTGCCTGAAACTCAAAGGAAAAAAGCTCTTTGTTTAACTGATGGAAGAGTCCATGCTGAGAATGGGCTCTCATCTTCAAACGTTGGCCTTGATCCACAGAGTAAACCTGACACTCCAAACCTGACTGCATGTGCTCATTCTTAGGGCAGGTACTCCAAAAAAGGTGGTGGAGTCATGAAGATGTTTCAAGTGGGTTTATGAGCATGGCATTAGCTTGTCTTCCTCCATGTCCAGTTAGTTTAAACTTTGTTCAATCTTCTGTTAAACCACTTGACACATCTTTTTTTTGTTTTGCCTTCAGAAAGTCTTTGTTGCTTTTGGTAACGATGGTAGTGCAGTTTGTCATATTTATCTTTGTACTTCACCTTCCAGAATAAGGTATTGATTCTTTTTAACCTCATCTTTCCTGTCCTGTAAGATCTTTTTTTTCTTTTGTTCTGGTTTTACTTTCCTGAGATGTTTGTATTTAGCCAACTTTCTTCCACTCTCTCCTTTAACCCCTGCCCCTAGTCAGCACCTTGGCATGTCTGGCAGTGTTGTCCTCAGCTGGACTGGAGAACTTCAGGCTTCTTTTTACCTCTGAGCATGCAGCATTCATCTCCTGTTTTCCATGGCAGTAGCCACCAGCTATGGTCAGAGAGGGGCTGATGGAACCTTAAACTGCTGAGAGAAATGTAGAACTGACAAATCTTTTTCCTGAAATTGGTGAATGGACAATGGACATACTTTCTCTCAGTCTGGCTCAGTTCATCTTTTCTTCCTTGAGGTGTACTTGATTGCAGAGCCAGGGATGGCTTGTTACACACTTAGTTACGTGTATGATTTTAGTTTTCTTTGCCAAATCAAAAACCACTGATAGATTTAGGTTTGGTTTCAGAGCCTGTAAAAGAAC